GTGTGTGTGTTAGTGTGTGTGTGTGTGTGTGTGTGATGGAGTGTTTGTGTGGGAGATGGGGTGTTCATGCAGTGGCGTCCAAAAGAAACCGCAAAATGTTTTCACCCAATCACCGTGTTAAAATATTGCACTGCCCTCTCAGGCAGAGTAGTGATTTAAAGCTAAATAAATTCTAAATTCTGCATCTTCTGACGCATTAATATTAATTTCATCTATGATAAAAGTTGCCCGAGGTATGGTCATTCAAAAATCAGACTTGGCAACACTGTATGAAATCAAATAAACTTTAGAGTGTATTCGCGCGTGTATTGATGTGCATTGGTGAAATCAAATGAATGGAGAGTGTTATTGTCTCTGCAATGAACAATGCCTTTTTACGATATTTTCAAATAGATTGAAAAAAGAGCAGTCACAAACACCACGAAAAGCCTTGACGGAATATACAATGTGCTCATTAGCATTTTGTCCTAGAAGCCATTAGTTTCGTGTAGAGACTGTGCCAGTTAGATTTTGTACAAAATATCATCTGTTAGTGAGAACAAGTGGCCACAAAACTGTCAAGGTTTTGGATGGTCTTGCTGGAAAGAACAACAGCCCACTCGTGAGAATGAACGGATAGCTTCGTTTAGAGGGCTACATCATGCAAGAGCTATAACGTCACGTTTTACCCTTATTTTGTCATGGTGTCATTCAAGGGACGCATTTATGCATGATGATGCACCTCCTCATATTGATGACGTCACTTGGAAAAACCAAATCTCACCGACGATGGAATGGTCACCAGTAAATATCTCAGATATCAATCATACTGGTATGTGGACCCCATGACACAGCAGCTGATTAGCCGATTCGGACGTTTTCTTCGCAACTCTCGGTAACAATTCGGATGAAATGACAGATAATAATGTCCAAAATCAAGCTCAAAACAGAATCAACGGCTGTTAAACAAAATACTAATGAGCACATTTTATTTATCTATGAGAAGTTTAACTTGTCTGTACAATGCACATAAAATGTTCAGAGGTTACGCATATATATGTCACACACACACACACACA